TGAGCGTGGCCAGAGCGGATTGATTAATTGGCGCCCGCGATTTTTCAGTTCCGCCTAGGCCCGACTTCAGGGAAATTTAGTACTTCCGCCTGACTTGTACTGCATTATCTGGGATGTGATTTACTGATTTTCAAATGTATAATTACCTGGGACGTGATTTACCGATTTTTGCGACAGCAGCAGAAAATGCTGCAAGGATTGTATTTAATTCTGATGTTAAAGGGTGCATGTTTCATTTTCGCCAGGCCATTTGGAAAGCTGCTCAACGTTGTGGGCTCCAGACATTATTCTGGGACAACCCTCTGATAAGACAATTTGTACGCCATGTATCAGCTTTGCCACTGATAAGAATGTGTGATATCGAGGATTTTTGGTTCTTTGCTTTGGAAGCTGTAGATTTAAACATTCCACAAGTAGGGCAGTTTGCTGATTATATGACAGAGCAGTGGGTTGATAACAATGGCCGTAATGTGTGGAACCATTTTGATTGATACAACAGGGCCCCGTACTACCAACCATGTAGAAGGTTGGCATTGTAAGTTGAAAGATAGGTTGCCAGGCAACAAAACATACGCCCACAGCAGGTAAATCTTCCGAGCGGTCGACAAGGGTTGTCGCATATTTCTTCTTTTGTAGGTAATTAGGGGGAATTTAATAGACAATTTCATACAGATGACATTATAATTTTCGTCGTTTGAGGGTTCACAAGGTTCTAAAAACTAAAACAAGGGCTGTAACTCTGGAAATAAACTACGGAAATTGTTGAAATTCAACAGGCTTTTTCGTTTTACTAATTCAAATAATGCATATAAATTTCATACAGATCGGATGATAACTTTTGTCATTCGAACGTTCACAAGGTTCAAAAAAGTAAAACAAGGGCCATAACTCTAGAAGTAATTGACGGAAATTACTGACATTCAATAGGCTTCTTCATTTCACTAATTTAAAGATACATTATGGGAGATTCGGTAACGAGTTGGCAGTTCTCACTATAATAGTTAAAAACTAGATAATGTAGAAGGCAATTTGGTGAAAATTTCATTCAAATTGATCCACTATGAACCGAGAACTAAGCGACTGAAATTCCCATAAGCCTCGGTCAATATTACTAAAGTCAGCACGATAAACAGCATAGTCTCGATTATTCATTTAATCGTTTAATCGAGAAGGAAAGTAAATCGGCTTACAATCCACTAAAGATCGCAGGCTAGCGCAGCCATCTAGAGTTGATTATGGCCTGGATAGGTTAATTAATGTCTAATTAATAATTTAGATAACATTTCAGGCCTAAAGAAAGACCTGAAATAGGCAGATTTAGCTCTTGCATAATGCATGTTTAAATGATGCATATGAATTTCATACAGATTGGGTGTAGTCCAGTTTGCTATGTACCTTAATTTTTGGGGATTTGTAAAACTATACATTTTTGGGAACCTCATGACCCACTAAACCCAAAAAACAATGTTTAAATTTTTTCCCATAATCATTTGGCCGCCATCTTGGATTTCAAAATGGCTACCATGTAATTCATTGATATTGTAATATCTTGGCTTAGAAACATATTTAAGGTATGGAAACATACATTTTAGAGGTCAACAAATCTAATCTGTTAGAAGTTTGTCAAGAGGCATCAAATGGCATGGAAGAAGCATGCGGAATGGCAACTAATAATATCAGGTTTGCCTTCGTACCTCAGACACATTCCGACCTTCTCCACAAGATGAACCAGATGAAGTTTGTGAAGAGACTAGAAGACTGGGAAGCCCAAAGAGGTCTGAATGCAATGTTTCGTTCGTTACTGAACTACCTTAATCGGGTGAAGACAATCCTCTACTTTGTAGCAGCTTCTAGGAATTCGGACATCCATCTTCATCTGCAAGCCGGTGAAGAACTCAGTAAGCTATTCTTTGCGATGGATAGGCTTAAATACAAGCGCCTTTGGCCACGCTACATAGCAGATATGCATGCACTTAAAAAGGATCACCCTAAAACATGGAAGGACTTGAAAATGGAAACATCTCTGTGACAAAAGGAAGTATCCCATTTGTTTCAATTGGTGCTGACCACGCATGTGAACAGCTGAATAGAATTATGAAAACTCAAGGTGGTCTGACTGGGATCTCAAATAACACCAATGCAAGACAGCGATTCTTCTTGGCTACTCCAGAACTTTCTTGTTTAGTAAAGGACTTTAAGAACCAGTTCCATTCTACAGGATATAAATCAACTTTCCACCACGACCTTTCTCCAGGCATAGTCAAACGAGAGCATGAGACAATCACGAGAATCAAAGAAGCTATTCAGATTCATGGTAATACCTTCGCTGTTGAGGGTAAAGAAATATATAACCTTATTACCCATGCATATATACCAGAAGAGTATGTCCCACAGATCCTTAAAATTGACGAAATAGGTCAAAAGCTCTACAAAGACTATGTTTCAGAGAGAATCAATGGTGAAGTTAGTCTTTGGGCTCGTGTGAAAAAGGAAAATCACCTGATGTATATGTCAAGCAATAAGAAGCAAGCAGCTAAGGTTCGTGACAAAACTGTCGATCTGAAGGAAACTAAGGATTTGTATGGTCGCTTGATGATTCTTGCTCGTTCCAACAGATATTGATCAGAAGCAGGCAGTGGGAACCTATGAATTCACACTAACACCTCGATCGCTCTTTGCACCTGACGGAACAGTATTACCATGTAATGACAAGTCAAAACTTATTAATGCACTCAAGAATATGGTCGATATTAGCAGCACAGATCATACAGACAATGTTCAAGTCATGGAAGAAAATTGCCACAAGATTGCTGTTGTTGTTGGAATGGTCTTAGTTCAGAAGCTTCCAAAGAAATCAGAAGGTCTGGTGACAGTTAAAGACCTTGCTAAGTGTTTTAACGTCAATCTTATGAATTTAACAAGAAACTTTGATGAGATCATTGTTGCCTTTGATACATACAGAGCCGACTCTCTGAAAAACCGAACAAGAGAAATGAGAAGGAAAGGGAAAGACTCTGTGCAGTATCAAATCAGTGATGAGACGAACATTCGGCACATCACCTTGAGTCGATTCCTATCACATGATGGAACAAAGGCAAATTTGACAGAGTATCTGGCAAAAGAAATATTGGAGTACAACAAAAATTCTCCAAAGCTGATAATCACCTCAGCAGCTGGCCATACAACCATGAAGAAGCTGATTCTTTGATGATATATTTGGGAGTGTCCGCAGCTGAAAGAACCACTATGGATACACACATACTTTCTTCTCTCCAGACATGGATGTTATGGTTTTGATAATAGCTAATTATGACCGGCTGCCAAAAAGCACAGATATTTCCCTTGCATCACATGTACAAAAGATAGAGCCATTGTGGGTAGCTCTTGGGCCAGACCGAGCAAAAGCTTTGCCAGGGTTTCATGCTTTTTTGGGTGCGGACAACACTGGGCGGTTTTCTAGAATAGGCAAGAATACTTGGTTCAAACATTTCATGAATGCGGAAGAACACATAATTGAGGCTTTCCATAATATCTGCCATGATCAGAAATTGAGCAAAAAATACCCAATCGCGATTGGAAGAGTTTGTATGTACTGCATACAGTCCCAAAGGAATTCACATCTCTCGTATTCCAGAGCTGCACTGGTATCTGTTCTGCAAATATATGGCAGAAAGTGACAGACTTCCACCTACTGTTGGAGCACTATCACAGCATATTTTGAGAGCTCAAATACAAGGTAGAGTATGGGGCCAAGCTTGTATTCCCCAGCAAGAAAGGTTGGACACAATGCTCCATGGTTACTATAAACTTGACGACATGAAGCTACAACCAAAGACCACCGATTTACCACCAGCACCTGAGGCCATTGTCGAGATGGTAAGATGTCAGTGCAAGAGCAACTGCACTTCTAATAGATGCTCCTGTAAACGCAAGAACTTGCCTTGCACTGACCTGTGTCTATGCAGCACAAACTGTGATAATGACGAAGACACACTTACCAAGAATCGTGATTCAGATGATGATAGTGATGGTTAATCTCCCCCTATTTTTTGGTTTTAGTGTTCAATAAAATATTTGGTTTAATCGATATTTACTGTCCCGAGCCTCTTAAAAGGTGTCATTTTGATATCTTTGGCCAAAAAATGTATGTTTAGATACCAAAATCATGTGTCTATGATGATTAGAAGCCTAGATATTAACAACTTAAAAAAATATGGCCGCCATTTTGAAATCCAAGATGGCAGCCCAAATCACAGATGTCACATTAGATTTGTTGACCTTTAAAATGTATGTTTCCATACCTTAAATATGTTTCTAAGGTTATTAGAAGCCAAGATATTACAATATCAATGAATTACATGGCGGCCATTTTGAAATCCAAGATGGCGGCCAAAGGATTATGGGAAAAAATGTAAACATTGTTTTTTGGATTCAGTGGGTCATGAGGTTTCCAAAAATGTATAGTTTTACAAATCCCCAAAAATTATGAACGAAATTACATAAGGAACTGGAGTAGTGATAACTTTTGCATCTATTTTGGAGCAATTGACTTTTGAGTATCATGTACGGTATAATATAATGTCAGTAGAGATTATTATACACATGGTATACTACCAAAATTTATCTAACTGGGTTCATTATCATGATGAATGAATGATTATTTATTAATTATCATCACTAGGGCTGTGTCACAAGTAGAAAACTTAATCAGTGACGAAGGAAGATCAACACACAGCACAAATCATTTGCAACAAAGACAGATGGCGAAGCAAACAAATTAATAATTTAATAGTTATTTAGAACCTATTAATAAGTTTCATGGTCTTTCCTAAATGAAGAACATATTTTTTCAACCCTTAAAATCACATAATGATGTTGTGACCTCAAAGTAAAAACTTCTCTAATTTGGCATCATTTTTATTTGTAAAATTCTTCAAAGACCAGATGCAAGATTCTGAGATTGTTGTAATTCCCAGGCCCACAAGATACTTGAAACCTACCTGTCTACATCTATGTGGAGTATTTACTAATAATGATACAGCTTCATTCCACTGGGATTGCATCATATACTGTAACTTAGTTAATATTTCCATTCTGTAATATAGATAGTCAATATTCAAGTACACAATTATAAAAAAATATTAATTACTTTTATTCTGTTCCTGGTGCCATACATATAATTTAAGAAATGTAATCAAATGGGATTTAATTTCTTACTTGCCTGCATTGACCAGGCTTATGCACTGTCTATGCAGGAAACTTTAGCCAGGCAACCACGTTTCTGCCTATTCTTTGTCAAATTTCAGCTGTCAAAGGTTCTATTATATGTACACAGGCCTCAGTTTTTCCTACAATCTGGTTGATTAGATGATGTTCCTAGCCTCTAGAGCGTCCACAAGAATTTCAAAGTGATCAAGGGCCATAACTCTAGCAGTAATTATCCGAAATCGTTGAAAATCAATAGACGTCTTCGTCTCATGACCTTAAACACTGTGTATTAATGTCAAGTTAATCGGATATTAACTTTAGCCTCTAGAACGTCCACAAAATTTTTCAAAGTAATCAAGGGCCATTATTCTGGTAGTAATTATCGGAAATCATTGAAAATCACTGGGATTTTTGGTCTCATGACCTTAAAGGAGCTTAATCGCTAATATTTGGGACCTAGAAATTGGGTCGCAACGCATATAATACTGTAATATGAATGTATATAAACTGATTTACATTCAATGGTTTCCGTTTTTCCTCCAATTTCAAATCAGTTATGTTCGGCGAATTAAGCCAGCTGTCTCAAGCGAGTGCAAATTTCTAGCGTCTGGTTATTCCAGTCTACATACACCGTTTGATTTGGTGCAATGTGTCTAGCCTCGTCCCTCGAGTCTCTCGAAACAACTGGGGCTGAAGCGCATTATGGTACACGATTCGTGTACCAATGGTAAAATGTTTATTTTGTCTTAAATATTGGATATCAAAAGCCCATCTTTTTCCGGTAAGATCACAACATGAATGTTGATTTAAATTGACAAATAAATCGTGTTTTCAATGTTGAAGATTTTGGATGATATTGAGTTAGAGACTTAGCTACTTTTAATACTGTGTATAAATCTAAAGTCAATCGGATAAGAACTTTAGCCTCTAAAGCATCCACAAGATATTTCAAAGTGATCAAGGGCCATAACTCTGGCAGTAATTATCGCATATCGTTGAAAATCAATAGGCTTCTTTGTCTCAAGACCTTAAACACTGTGTATAAATCTAAAGTCAATCAGATATTAACTTAGCCTCTAGAACGTCCACAAGATTTTTCAAAGTGATCAAGAGCCATAACTCTGGCAGTAATTATCGAATATCATTGAAAATCAATATGCTTTTTCGTCTCATGACCTTAAACACTGTGTATAAATTTAAAGTCAATCAGATATTTACTTTAGCCTCTAGAGCGTCCACAAAGATTTTTCAAAGAGATCAAGGGCCATAATTAACTCTCACAGTCTTACACAACTACTTTTGGTCTTCGAAGGAATTATTAGTGAGGTGAAATTCACCCATGTATCTGTTATCACTCGTCACTTCAGTCAGTTATATAGAGGGATAACTCGTGTTTTCCTTTTGTCACTTCCAATTGTTGAAACCTTCATTACGCATCTATCGTAGCAATGATATCTGTGTTAAAATTATATTTGGAACGTGTTTAACCAGTTCTATCACATATGTGATAATGACTGACACCAATATTATCCTTTAAGAATTAAAGTCAGAGTTGGTGTGAAGCCAGAAGGCAACATGAGTCAACCACGCTTTAAAGATAATCAATTTGTATTTTATGTATAGTATCTTATCCTTTTGTGCCAGATTAGCCATCTTCAATAGACAGCTTGATCTCATTTTAACTCTGTACATTTTATCAAGCCCTTCACGTAATACCCTGCATATTTCGGCACTAATTTCGATTGGCTTCTGACCCAGCTGGGGAGCTTATCAGAATACCAAGTCTTGTGCTTTCCAGCTAAAATGTTTACCTGTGATAATCGAGTAAACAATAAAGTGGGGGACCCCTCGGGACTACATCTTATCGTTAATGCCATCCGGTGCGAATGTTCTTAAAGTGTGAATCCATTTGAATTCATTGGCTTTCCTTACGGCATCGTTTTTGCCGTCATCTGGGTCAGTCTTACAAAGCTCTATAATTTTAATCATAACATTTCTACTCGTATGTCTATCTAAGTTGAAGTGTAGTGCGGCCGGCTTTGGCCTGTTATGTCTAATATCTGCATAGTGTTCCTTTATTCATTTTGAAAAGACACCTTTGCTTTCTACTACATACCTATTATTTTTTGGAGGAGCATGTTAATAGGTAGACTATATTTCTACTTAAACAATTATAGCCCGTGCGGCAGGAATATTTCTTGCCAGTTTTACCACTAATAAAGTAGTTATTTTGGTCTAATTTGTAGCAGATATCACAGTCCTTCTTGATACATTTTTCGAATAGATTTTGAACCGTGACTCCGCTGGTTTGCGGGTCCCGTGGTGGATAGATGAATCTTGCTTTCTGCAGCGTATCCTTCAAATTAGGATTCCTCCTAAATGCCGTGATTGGTTTGATGTTTGAGATGGAATGGCACATGTCCGATCCGGTTAATAAATGCCATTTCTCTTTTATGAGCATACTAACTTGAACAGCAGTTGGATTATAATCCGTGATAAAAACGAGCAACTTTTGTTTTTTCAAAATTTTTTCAAAATAGTCGGGCTTAACAGGTCTTTTCTGGCTAGAGAATTTGCCCTGTTCTTATTTTCCGACATTACTTTGTGTGGGTAGCCTCTTTTATGATAAAAATTGAGAAGATTTTGGCTATGGCTTTCATAGTCTATTTCTAAGCAACATACTGTTGTATGTAGTAAAGCCGGAGTTAATTCTCAGCCTAAACTGTCTCGGTATCATTTGTTTATTCAGGCACGCCTGGTGGTAGTCTATTTGAATACCCAGGATCTCGTTTGAAATCACTGATTTTAAAAAATTCATAGCGTGGAATAGGTTGCTCCGCAGTTGGGTTGAAGTAAAAAATCTGTAAATAGGCGAACAGCCTTCCCAGATTTCTCTCAGCTACTAGTTTCGTTCTTATTCGAACTCTTCAGGCTTAAATGAGGATGTGCGTTGGCCCTCTATATATAGAGTCGGTGGGCACCGGAGCACATGCGATGTCACAGATGGACCGGAGTCGATCTTTGGCACCGGAGTCGATTATTCCGAAAAGTATGCAAAGATATTCGGCTAAGAATTTGCGGTCATGATTATGCTTATTTGCATTGACTCAAGGCTCCTAACCCTTTTGATCTCCAAGTTTAAAGTTTCCTAAACTATCGAGGGCTTAAAAATAACTCTATTAGGTTATGGGCGTGTATGCACTAATTTTTTATTAGCTTTCGCCGTAGGGGTACCACAGCTAAATTAATTGGGAACTCGTCATTGTTTTTCATATTCGGCCTTGAGTTAGGCTAAGAATTATGCTACTATTTCGCATACTTTGAAAAGTGGCTCTAGGAATAGATTTCTTGCATTCAACAAGGAGCTTACAAGGTTGTTTTTGCGTTTCTCGATTGAAACGTTGTAAAAATACCCAGTCTTCTCTACTGATGTTTGATTCTGCCAAATCATCGCGATTCAATGTGCGAGAAACTGGCCAGGCCTCTAGTTCGAGACAAAGATCAACTCCTTCACAAAAAGCCTCCCAGTTACTCATGGTTGGAAAAGGTACAGGACAAGGCGATCTGCCATATTTTACCTCCGTGCTTCATTTTCGCAGGTAGGAATATTAGTGAACGTCCCTATTGTGACGTCACGGGATACCTCTAAGGCTAATTGATGGCAATGTGCCAGGTATTTTGAGTGGAGTCGATGATACGAGTTCCAAAAATGGGGATGCACACGAGAGAAATAGCTAACAGAATTTTAAGAACGTAGTGCAGAGGTCAAAGTTGTGTTTTATTTACTTTGGGACCATACCCTATCAGCTCAAAAAGGAATCAAAGTTGTCCGTCATATTTTGAAATAAACCTACGTACTCGGGTCACTAGGGGGCGTTCTGAAGCCAGAAGCCAGGGGATTTTTTGTTCCGAAGGGCACTTTTCAAGTTTGCCTTAGCAACGTGAACAATTGTAGCAAAGATTAACTTTGTCCGCAAAAATTTGAATTAAATCGACTTTTTCCGCAATTTTGGGGGTGTACAGACCCCTAAACCCAGGGGATGTGCAACTTAAGAATTCCCATTCTGATCATCGGCCATGATGGTGCCTCCATTAGGCATAGTGCCGATTTTGTCCGCAAGTTTATGAATAACGGTCAGCTAGCTCCCCTACTAATAAAACATACCTCTGAGATTCTAAATTCTGTTTGATGTTTTTAAGAGATGTGTTTTCTTTCCTGAATTCTCTTAACCTATGAAAAAATGCAATCAAAATCTTATAAGTTATCTCTTTAAAGTATTCAAATCAAACGTCAAAATGTCAAGAAACAGCCTAGTTACCTTGTCTGAAAGTTTCAGCTCAAAAAATGACCACCAAACATATCGCAGATAGTTGTTTGGAACTATACAGAATTATGCAGCCTTATTCACTGAAATATATCTGTGATTTTCTCCTTTAAGTAAAAGCTATTTATAAAATGTAGATGGAAATTCATGTAATACAACTTTAAGGCTAAATACGTTTCAATTGTCACATTTTTGTAATGATTACGATTTCCCCACCAATTCCAAAACACAAAGGTTTTCTCAAAAATTCAATTTGATCAAAGTGATTTTGGTCTTGAGAATGTTATATCTATAATATTGAAACTGGTTGTTATGCATTTTAAAATCTGTAGCTATCAACAAAGATTAACAGAGAAAACAAGCCAACAGTAATGATGATGTGCCCCCCCAAAATTCCAAAATAAATAGATGACACATAATAATTTATCGCAAACTTATTTTTTTCAAAAGCATCAAGCAATCAAACAGATTATCAATCATACACTCTTGATCAGATAGGTATATTGTTCCAAAGCATCGACTAAGCATGTCCACAAGAGCACGATGAAGAAATTGAAAAAAAACCCGATAACCTGGGGGGATCGGCAATTTTTAATCATACTAGGCCTATGGGGTCCCTTAGGTGACAGGAGTCACACGATGAAGTGAAATTTTTTTTTTAAATGACAACTTCCGGTATAACTGAAATTGTTATTTTTGAGCAAAATTGGTCTTATTGTGACCAATTTTTTACCCTAATTTCAAAAGACTCTCATTCGAAAAGTTGGGAAAGATTTATTCGTGTGGAATTTTCAGTGCATTATTTATAAGTGTCAGTTTTGTATATCGTCAAAACTATGTCTTCCTAAAATGCATATAGCTGCTTCTTTGCAGGTCTGACATATAATTGACTGGTGTGGTTGTAAAGGGCATGCACTAAAGCGCTGCAGTGTTCTGAAAACGTGCAAAAAACACCATTTTCCTCTGATTTGTCGTTTCGCTGATGACCGCCAGTTGTGTTCAAATGAAATCCGATTATAACTATTTCTGTCATGTTTCATTATTTGAAATTGGACTATCTTGGTCGTGGGAGGCAATGGACGTAACTCATGCCAACTTTTAAGGGATCAGACAACAGTTATTCTCATCTGTATTTATTTGTTAGTAGTATTAAAGTATGCGTCCATGAGAGAGATAACCATGCAGAAATTGTAAACAAGCAATTAATTTATCATGCTTAGGCTATGGAGTCCTCAAAGCAACAGAATTCACACAATGAAGTAAAGATAGGGTTGCCAGGCAACGAAACATACGCCCACAGCAGCTATATCGTCCGGGCAGTCAACAAGAGTTGTCACATATTTTTACTTTTTTCGGTAATGAAACATTTATAATACATTAAAATCTGATTAAGAGTAACAACTCATTAAGTAATTATCAGAAAACCATTAGAATTTGTTTGGTTTTTATAAAGTTCTGCCCCATGCTAACGTTTAGTATACAAAACTTTTAACATCATGGATTTAGCTGTTCAAGTCATAAAGATTCTTGAAAATCAATATACTTGTTCGTCTCAAGATCTTAAACACTGTGTATAAATTTAAAGTCAATCCGATATTAACTTTAGACTCTATCAAAAATTATCAGAAATCGCTGAAAATCATAAGGCTTCTTCGTCTCATGACCTTAAACACTGTGTATCAATTTAAAGCCAATCGGATATTAACTTTAGCCTCTAGAGCATCCACAAGATTTTTCAAAGTGATCAAGGGCCATAACTCTGGCAGTAATTATCGGAAATCACTGAAAATCAATAGGCTTCTTCGTCATATGACCTTAAACACTGTGTATACATTTAAAGTCAATCGGATATTAACTTTAGCCTCTAGAGCGTCCACAAGATTTTTCAAAGTGATCAAGGGCCATAACTCTGGCAGTCAGGGCTCTATAAAAGTTGAGTGTGCCTGCGCACACACTTGAAAATGTGCCTGCAGGGTCATACTGAAACACAGGGATGTAGCCATGATTTGGTGAGTGGTGTAAAAATATATGTGGCGAGCGGAGCGAGGGCAACAAATTTTTGGGAAGGGGGCGTGGTCTTTTATGAAAATTAAACCCTTCTTTGTGTATTTTCAGAGTATCTGCTGCCTTTTGTATTTGGTTCAGTGCAAATAAAATTTCCATTTATATATTCAAATTTTACCAAATTCACTTAATTTTCATCAATGATACAGGGATCTAAAAACTTTTTGACACCACCCGACCGAGCATAAAATTGTCCCACCCCACTCTGTTTCTCTGGATAGATAAGTTGAGGACCTTTCGGTATTTGTTGTTTTGTTGGTTTTTTTTTTTCAAATATTACTTTATTACTTTTATTTGAGTACAACGAACTATGACAACAGGTAGATATTGATAATTAAAACACGTTGTATTATTTGACTTGTTTGTAAAGTTGTTGTACGTGTCTCACGAATATTATTATTATTACGGTGGAATGAGAATCGGGTCAGACAGAAACTGAGAAAGCTCTCATCGTCCTCCTAGTCCTACTCTCGGGCCGTAGCAAATCCACGGTCAACACGAGTAAGAAATAAAATAAGAAACGTCTTGAAAATTTGCAGGCACGTGTTGGACAATTACGACATTCAAACCTTTAACATTGGAGTGCCGTAAATTGGTCTGGGTGACCTATTTACGGCAAATAAACAAATATAAAGACCGTAGAATAATTGTAAAATGAATAGACCTAGGTCTACACATCTTCTAAGTCTAAATAAACAAAATACCAATACATCTTTCTTTAAACTAATTTGGGATGATAGGGTCTACTACGGCACACAAAAATAAATTATGCCGTGACAGACATGGTTTACGTACGTACGTCGGCTTTTACCATGGCTTTGTCGTTTTTGCCGTGGTAAATTTCGAGCGCCGAGTTTGTGTACAGAGAAGGACGAAGGGATTTAAATACGACTGGGCGTCTTTCTTCGATTTTTTCTTTGTGCTGGGCAGCAAAAAATAGTGCCAGGCGCAGGCGCCGCCCGGCGTGGCTACATCTTTAAAAATGTGCCTGCAAAAATTTTTTTGAAATGATTGTGCCTGCGCACGCCGTGTGCATGTGCGCGGAAATATCGATGCCTGGCTCTAACCCCAAAAGTTATCATTCGATCTTTCTGAAAATTATATGCATTATTTAAATTAATGAGACGAAGAATCCTATTGAATTTCAGCAATTTCCGTTTATTACATCTAGAGTTATGGCCCTTGTTTCACTTTATTGAACCTTGTGAACGCTCCAACGCCAAAAGTTATCGCCCGATCTTTGTGAAATTTATATGCATGATTTAAATTAGTGAAACGAAAAAGCCTATTGAATTTCAGCAATTTACAATAATTACTTCTAGAGTTATTGCCCTTGTTTCACTTTGTTAAACCTTGTTAATGCTCGATGGATGATAGTTATCATCCGATATGTATGAAATTTATATGCATCAGTTAAATTTGTGAAACAGGTCTATTGAATTTCAGCAATTTCCGTCAATAATTTCTAGAGTTATGGCGATTGTGAACGTTTGAATGACAAAAGTGATCATGTGATCTGTATGAAATTTATATGCATTATTTAAATTAGTAAAACGAAAAAGCCTGTCAAATTTCTTTGTGAAATTTATATGCATGATTTAAATTAGTGAAACGAAAAAGCCTATTGAATTTCAGCAATTTACAATAATTACTTCTAGAGTTATTGTCCTTGTTTCTCTTTGTTAAACCTTGTTAATGCTCGATGGATGATAGTTATCATCCGATATGTATGAAATTTATATGCACAAGGCTCTACACAGCATTTTGAACTTACTTGTGCAAACATAAATAAATTTTCAAAACCACTAGCCAAACAAAATTTTCAGTTGCCAAGTCTGAAGATTAGAATAATTTGTCGTATGATATAGCTAAATTATATTGTGAACATACATAACTCGTCGTCCTATAACAATAATAAAAAAAGCTGTTTTAAACATTTTTTTCCGACTGGGACTCACTGCGAGACTAAGACGGCGGTTGGCGAAGCTTGTAATTTTGCTTGTATGGGTGGTGTAGCGTCAGTAGCATGACTATCATCATTTTTCCCCAACTGAGACTCACTGCGAGACGAAGTTACTTTACTAGTAAAGTAAGACTATATAGGTTTGATTCGTCTGCTAGCCATGCTGTCAGCTGTCTCGCAAACTTCCGATAAATACAGCGCATGCACAATGAGAATTTCCTCGCAGAGGACAATGAGATTGACCCAATTTCAAACCAAGAAAGTAACAAGAGTGACATTTGACTGGGATCATTGCCGATTACGTTATCTTTACGGAGAAAAGTTCAGATAGCTATAGCGTTAATTGGGGACTTCAAGATATATTTTCACTCGCCAGAAACCTAGCATTTATAAATATCTGGTCGCCATTGTCAAAATTCATTCGCAAATGCGAGTGTTTCAGTCGCATTGTAGAGCCTTGTATATGCATCATTTAAATTTGTGAAACAGGTCTATTGAATTTCAGCAATTTCCGTCAATAATTTCTAGAGTTATGGCGATTGTGAACGTTTGAATGACAAAAGTGATCATGTGATCTGTATGAAATTTATATGCATTATTTAAATTAGTAAAACGAAAAAGCCTGTCAAATTTCAACAATTTTTGTAGATTACTTCCAGAGTTGAGACCCTTGTTTCAGCTTTTAGAACCTTGTAAACCTTCAAACGACAAAATTTATAATCTGATCTGTATGGAACTGTCTTGTAAAGGCCCCCAATTACCTGCAAAGGAATAAATATGCGACAACCCTTGACGACCGCTCGGACAATTTAGCTGCTGTATGCGTATGTTTTGTTGCCTGGCAACCTATCTTTTGGCTTCTGGTTCCTGTAGAGGTCA